TGGTGCCTGAGTTGGGAGCCCTGAGGGCGCAGACAGGGGGTCAAGGTCCGAGTCTTGATGGCCTGAAAGGACATTGTGGGTCTGCGTGGGCTGGGGGAGACAGTGAAGGAAGTGAGTTGTGGGTTTGGGGGCTGGAGAGAAAAGTTCCGGGGCAGGATAGGGGTCCCCACAAGAGGCGTGGACAGAGAACGGAGCTGGGGATCGAAGAGGGCGCTGCGAGTGGGGGGCCCCGGGGCGCCTGGCGAGCGAGTTCCGGGCGCGGGGGCATAGCAGGAGGCTCAGCTGGTGGGGCCGGCGGGGGGTGGCGGGGGTGGCTCGACCCCCTTGACGCAGGCGGCTTCGCAGTGCTTGTGGAGGTAGGACTTGAGCGCGAAGCTCTTGTCGCACTGGCGGCAGCGGTAGTGCTTGAAGGCCGAGTGCGTCTGCATGTGCGCGCGCAGGTTGGAGCGGTCGGCGAAGGCCTTGCCGCAGTGCGCGCAACCAAACGGCTTCTCGCCCGTGTGCGAGCGCATGTGACCCTGCAGCAGCCAGGGCCGCGAGAAGGCCTTGCCGCACACGCCGCACTTGTGGCGCAGGTTGTGCGTGAGCACGTGCATGGCAAGGGCGGGCATGGACACGTACGCCTTGCCGCACGTCGGGCACTTGCGCGCCAGCTGGCTGTCCAGGCTGCGGTGCGTTTGCTTGTGGCGGCTCAGGTTCGACGACGTGGCGTACGTCTTGCCGCACTCGGCGCACGCGTGCCGATGCCCACCTCCCGTCGGCGCCCCCGCGCGCCCCGCGCGCCCACCGGTGCTGCCGGCGTCCCCTGCCCCCCCGGCGTCCCCAGTGCCCCCGCTCCGTCGCCTTCGTGAGCGCCCGTCGGAGATGAAGAAGGCGTCCATGGAGTAGCTGTCGGTCACGGCTGCTTCCCCACGAAAGTAGCGTGCCGAGAGGCTTGACTGCGGGCTCTCGGGGTCGCTGTACTCCTCCGGCGCCGCCGGCGGGTAGGCGGGCTCGGCCGGGGCCAGCTCCAGGCCCGGCTTCTGGTCCGCATCGTAGCTGCTTGGGGGCAGGCAGTGCGGGGCGTAACCTGGAGGAGGCGAGAAGCGAGGTAGGGGGTGATTAGGCGCCAAGGAAGGCTTCCACCTTGGGACAGTCACTCCCTGCGCCGTACCCCACTGCTGCTCTAGGAAAATGATGGCTGATTTTAAGACATTAGCCACCGACATGCAGCTCAGTTCCTGGTGTCAGGCTTCCGGACTTCAAATCCTCCCTCTGTGGGCAACAGCAATAACCCGCCAAGCCACCCATGGAGCGCTTGTGTACTACCGGGCACGATTCTGCTTTCACGTTCACTGTCTTCTTAAATCCTGACAACCACGCAGTGAAAGAAGGCTTATCATTGTTATTCCCACTTCACAGATAGGGAAACTGAGGCGTAGAGAGATTTAAGCAACCAGTTTAACCTCACACAGCTAGTAAGTGGTGGAGCCAGGATTCATACCTTGGCAGCCTGAAGCCAAATCCCATGCTCTCTATTATCTCAAGACATTTTGCCCTTTGAGTTCTGTAACTTCTCTGAACCTCAGTTTCCTCGTCTACAAAATGGAGCTTATAATTGGACCCCTTCCCCCAGGGTGGTTGAAAAGACCGAGTGAGGTGGTGATAATAAATACGCATGGAGTGCTTACTGCGTGCCAGACACTGCCTCCGTGCTTTACACGTTATTTCATCAGCACAACGACCCTACGAACTAGGTACTATAATCCCCATTTTATATGTATGGAAATTGAGAAAGAGAAGAAGCGAGCACACCGTAATTGCTGTATAAATGGTAGCGATTATAATTATGCTTTTACTTGCTTGAAAAAGTGACTTCACTAAAGATTACTTAATTGTCTGCCTCTCCCACCTCCGGCTAGATCTGTGTGCCCAGCACGAGCTTGGCTCAGTGGAGGCTGGTGATAAAGAGGTGTTGTGTAAACCAATTACAATCCAGTCTCACCTCCCAGGGTTGCTGGAGGATTCAAAAGGGGTCAAGTGTGTGGCACATAGTAGGTACTCAAGAAATGGAACTTGTACTTGCTCCAAGC